AAAAAATACTCCCTCCCCACTGACATAGACACACTCAGACAGTACACACACTAACCGAAACCATCGCAGTAATTTTTTTTCTCGTTCCCCGGCCGGTCACCCCTCTACTATTAAAACTGTATATCTGCTCGCGTATAAGTTATTATTTTAATTTTAATCGCCCGCCACGATTGTTTATTGTTAACTAATTTATTAGGTATTATTTTTTGACCCAGTGCGCGTCTATAAAGCACACACGCGATAAAAAATCGCGAGACGCTCATAATACACCAATGTGTATATTATAAATTTATGAATCATGATATATACGCGTGTATTGTGTATATTATAATTATTGTAGRTACATATGTGTATAATATTGTAATATTATACATGCGTAGCTTGGGTATATTATATATACCGAACGACCGGCCTGCAGAGAAAGCCAGTTGAAAAGAAAAGGGTTATTATGTTTTATTTTGAAAAAMCCCAACCGATCCATCGGAACAAATTCTATATACTCGTTCCGAAATGGCAATTGTTCGCATCGACTTCATATTATAATATGTTTATATCTAAATAAAACTAACACAGACACACCGCTGTGTCTTGTGTGTGTAAATAAAACTACGTATACATCATCATGGATTCAGATTGGATTTTTTTTTTTTATTAAGAGCAAAAGCTTCGACAGCAGAGGTCATTAGCCTGTAAAAGTTTCACATTGGATTTATTTTCGTTTTACTGTACTTGCACTCGCATCATACCTATAATAATATAATAATAATAATAATAGTCGTGTATAATAATATAAACGTGCCGTTAAATACGTATAATCTATGAGATAAGTCTTATCAATGATGGAGTTAAATATTCGTATGTTGTGTAACATGTGAGATKAACATTYTAATCACATTTTTTTTTCATTCAATAAATTGAACGATTGACCCAAAATTAATTAGCATTTTATATATTACACATATCCACACACGAATCAAATATGTAATACTATAACTGTATTATATATATATATTACGCAGTTCATTTTTGAGTSGACGCCACTTTGAATATCGCACGGYGGACACGATGATGTATAGAGAAGACATCCTATCG